AGGTTCTGGTGTGTGGACCTGAGGGCTCGGGTTGGAGCATAAGGCTTTAACAGTTCAGTAATATAGGGAGGAGCTTGACCATGTAGAGCATTGAAAGTTATAGTCAGGATTCTAAAATGAACTCTAACGTTAATGGGTAACCAGTGCAGAGACATCAGAACAGGAATGATGTGAGCTCTTCGGTTTGCTCCAGTTAGGAGCCTCGCAGCAGAGTTCTGGACCAACTGAAGGCAGCCAAGTGCTTTTTTGTTAAAACATGTGAAGAGTGTGTTACAGTAATCTAGATAGGAGGAGATAAAGGCATGGAGAACCATTTCAAGTTCATGTTTTGACACCAACCTTCGCAGTTTGGAGATATTTCTTAAATGATAAAAACAGTTTCGGACCGATGTCTTTGAGTGACCTTCAAGAGACATTGATTGGTCAAAAATAACACCCAAATTCCTTAAGTTTGTCCTGATGGCAGAGGATAAATGATCAAGTTTTAGACTAATCAGTCAATAATCAATCAAATATTGTTAGCTAAATGCGTTATTAGACCACCGATAGAAAGCTAAAAGACATTTGACATGAATATATTGAAGACAAAAGTCAGTGGAACATTTTTATTTATTTATTTTGTGTCAACAGAAAATTCTGTGGAATCTGTTTCTTATTTTCTCTGAACTCAGATGTACTTAAAGGAGGAATTACAACCCTATCAAATATCAGAACCGGTGTCCATACTCGTTTAGCATTAGCTGTCAACACCTCCTCGTCTTGGAACAGTGTGCTCTATTGATGGTCATATTTCCTGGCAATCAGCCAGACCAGCTTTTCCACATTTTCGTTTGAGTTGTCACTACGTATCCCAATCTTTGTTAGAATTGGCCCAAAAAATAGATTTAGGCTTAAATTAAGAATTGTTCTCAAATTGATGCAACTGATGCTGTTTTTACAGTAAACAATCAGCATCTGTTACTCAAAGTGAAAACTAACTGCACTCGGGATTCAGAAAGTCAGCTTTCACTGATCTTATGACACAAGAGTCTCCATCAAAGCAAAGATCAAGCTTGCGGATGGTTGTCACATGGAAACATAACCCCTCTGACATGTTCCTCTAGAGAGTCGTAGTTTTGCCAAATGTGTATTTTGCACAATAAATGGATAGGTTTCCCTAATAGCCCCTATAGGGGCCTGCCCTGAGTCTTGGCAATGCTAATGGCATGCTGAGAAAAGGATATGAAGCACATATTGAATTAGACGTGGCTCAGAGAGTGGAGCGAGACAAGAAAGGAGACCCAGCAGCCACTACACGTGACAAAGCACTTTCTGGCATGAGAAAAGGCCCACAGGACTGATCACTAGAATCTGGGTTGTGTGTTGTGATGTTATTAGTCAGGGTGAGATGTGAGCATTTCCCCCCTTTAATCAGATATTTCAGTGATTTCTAGGACAGTTTTTATGCCTTTGTGGCAGCGACACCCATGGCTAGAGGCTCTGATTCTGGTTTTCGGGTCACACGATTGTGTTAAAGGATAAAGACATGATGTGATTACATCTTGCTGGCTGTTATTAAATGAAGTACTTAAGGGCTGAGAAAAAGATGAATGAAAATCAACATAATGCAATACATTGAATATTATGAATAAATGCTGCCAACGAGGTCCGTGAGCATGGGGTTCACATCATTAGTACAGTCAAACCTCTGAATCACAGCAGATGTGTCTGAGCTGAGAGCTACATAATAGGGGAAAATCCTTAACTATTTCCTGTTATTCTATAAACTTCCACTAAGCGTCAACCACACATTCCTCTATGCAGATGAAAGTTGTTCTTGTTCTCTCTTGCTCTGTCTAAACCCTGCTAATACTTAACACCACACTCCTGAATTTGACACAACCGGGTGGACGCACTGAAAAGAAATGTCTTTGGTTAACGGAATATTTGTGGTATTTGTTATTTACAGTTTTCACAGATGGTTTGCACCATTTCGGTTCCATTTATCAAAAAAGTAAAATAAAAATACATTGCTAGACATGTTCTGAGTGTGTATATTTTTGGTGCACTGTTTTGGATTAAATTCAGCAAAAGGAAATGTGTTGAGAAAGAATCTGCCTGTGATGATTGATGCCATGCTGATGCTTGCTTATTTTTGTACAAAAGTATGGGTTTCTAAGCTGTGGGATTAGCAAAGGCGAGTCAGCTTTCCTCTCTTATATCTCCGAATAAGATAAACAATGAAACTTCTCTACAGTGATAACAATTTTTTTAAAGGAGAGTTATTTTTTCCCTTTGGGGTTTTGGGGTTAAATGATTAAATGTTGGTATCTTACTTTTTCTGAATCAAAGTCATAATGTATGTGGTAAGAATCAGAGAAATGCAGATTTCTCATTATTCTGATGCAGGAGTAATCTGCACAAACTTGAAACCATCTTTGATACCATTTATCCTTTTTTTTCCTTAGTATTGAAAATCATTGACAACTAGATTTCTGCAGAGCATACACATATGCAACATTAAAGGCACAATATGTAGGGATTTTACAGTGAAATAAGCACAAAACAGTCTACTATTCCAATCATGTTGGAAAGAATGTTACATAGAACCAGATTTCCTTCCCAGCCAGCTGGAGGGTTGTCAGTTTTTCTCCTTTCAAAAAAGCTAAAGAGTAGTGATGAGATGTTCACGAACGAATCAAATCTTTTGAACGGGTTTTCTAAGTGAATGATGAGAGCTGAGTCCCTGTAGAGAGCCGTTCATCTTGACTTCCCGTAGCAAACCTCCTCGGAAGTCGGTAAAGCGCATCCGCTGACCCGCTCAAAACCCACCCACCGCTGTGACGGACGTAGCAGGAACCCTAACCAACCCCGTGCGCCTTCACGGACACCGCAGGAACACATTGCTCCTATTACCCCCCCCTCCCCCCAGGAGCGGCGTTAGGCCCGGCTACTTGGGCTCAAGCCCCGAATGTTTTATGAAAAGCCCCAGATCTAAATCGTGGAAGTAACATGCAGTACCAAAGTCCAGCAGAAAGGGAGCAGCTGGCAGTAGTTTGTATACAGCCTGCCTGAGCCTCCACCACTGAAGAATCCCGTCAGCAGCCGGCTTCTTCTACACTCTCTGCCTGAAACGCAAATGTAAAGATGGACATAAGGGCGTTTTTTAGACCAAAAGTACCGCGACAGAACCCCAGCTTTGATGAGACTGGTGTTGACTCAGGTTTGTGAGTCTTATTTGAAAATATTTGTTGTGCTGCTGGTTTGCCTAAAGTTAGCTTACTATCAGGTAAAGTTGTTGGAGAAAGAAAGGGAATATTTACTATCATCTCACACTAAACACTAACAGGAACAATACTCTGCCCTGAATATGCTTAATATGCAGCTTCAGATTAAAAATTATGTGGTACAAGACAAATATATATGATGTTGACTAGTGCGTGTCACGTGTGTGCGCGTGTACGCACGCGTGTGTTAAGCCCCGGATCTTCTTCAGTCCTAAATCCGCCCCTGCTCCCCCAGCTCTCTTGGCTTCACTTTGTTCAAATAAGCCAGTCTTTTGAACGACTCTTTGAGGTAAACAACCAACTAATGAACGGCTCCCATGGAAGAGCCATAAATCCCATCACTACTAAAGAGGGACGTATTCTGTGGGCCCGTCAGGTTGCCGTGTCTCTGCCGAGCTAACGCTGCCGCACCAGCATTTGTAATTCAACACCGGCAGGCAAAAAGCTCTTTTAAGAACTGAAGCCAGTAAACAGGAGCGACCCAGAAGTTATTTCTTGTACCCCAAGAAGCGCATTCATCTTTTTGTTTTATGCTAATATCGGGTGAAGCAGGTTCGAGGCTAACGCTGAGCTAACATTTACCATTACTTGAGGCATACTACCGTAATAAGTGTAGTTAGTGCTCACTACTGTAAAAAACCAGAGTACTAGTTATACTTAATAACAGTTGTTAAAAAACAACTCAATGTACAATAATACCAAGGTAATCCACAGCAAGGTTAACATTTTATTGACTTTTAGCCTGAAAGTGGACAACCAAGTCAGACTTCAGGTCCTAATTCATGTGGATCCTGGTTGGTCCATAAGACTTGCACCATTTATGTATTCTTATGGGACAGGGTATCCGCGGGTCCCTAAAAAGTCTTAAAAAGTCTTAAATTATATTTTCCAAATTTAAGGCCCTAAAAATTCTTAAAAATTACAAATAATCCTTAAATACAGTTTCCAAAAGTCTTAAATTACCAAAGACCCAATAAACAAGATTCTTTTATTTCTATAAAATTTTTGTGAATTTCTAGCTAGTGTTTTTGAGTATGATATTGGCATAAGCGGAACCATACACATTCAGTTGGTTGTGAAAGGGGACCATTTTAAATAAGCGCAGTAGCTGATTAAGCTAGTGGGAACTTGTGCCATGGGGAAGTGCAAGTTTAATGGTAACTGGATGGTTAATCCCACGTTCGTGACGTGGCTAGCACCAGTTCCAGGAAATAACTGGAAATTATAGCTTAAATTTTATTTTAAAAACAGCTTAAATTTGGTCAAAGTGGCCTTAAAAAGGGTCTTAAAAAGTCTTAAATTTGGCTCCCTTAAAACTGCAGATACCCTGTGGGAGAGCTGAGCTAATGTAACTAGCTAACAGCTTCTCAGATTGATTTCAGTCATTAAAACAAATCAAACCCTCAAAATGTAATATTTCTACAATCAAACGTTTGCAGCTTTTTTCCTCCGAAATACTTTTAAGTTGAATATTTAGCTGCATGGCTCATGGAATGTATCTTAGTGGGAAACTGTGATATGTCTATGTAATAAATAATTAGATGCTAAAGTGATGTTTGATTTGTTTGACATCTCCATGAGAACGTTTCCCTGAGTCTTCTAACTTAGATCATTCAGGCTTTTATCTACTGCAGGTAAGATACTAACCACTGCTAATTTTCCCACAAGAACTAGCTTAAACATATCTGAGCCACCCCTTTAAGAGTCTTGTGTGTTATACTCTGTTTTTCACAGGTGGTTCGCGGGATGGCAACAAGAGATCTGTGTTTTCAGGTAAGAATTTCTTTACATTAGATCAGTGTTAGTAGCTCTGCTATGGTAAGCAGAGGCTTAAAACTGAGTGGGCCTTATTGTTTTTACATGACCTCATTTGTGGAGCCATAACATGTTACCAAAGTAACACCGCAGAAGCCTCCGCCTTCATTTATGGCCTGGTGGATTACCGTCACAGGCTAAATGGAGGGCACCACGTCTCTGAACTGTGATTGGACGAGGCTGCTCATGTGTGGAGACGGGAACGCTGAATCCCAGTTCCATTAAGTCACTTGGGTTTCAAGTTTACAGCAGACAGCGTCAACTTACAGCATCAACATTTAGGAGAAGGCGAAAGCCTGTCTGGTTTGAGGTCGTCTGTGGATCTCCTTCTTGTGGCTTCGGAGGTGCCCACAGTTCCCAGTGAGCGTGTGCCAGTCTGGAGGCAGATCTGAGAGGCTGCTGATGCTGTTACTACTGCTGCTTGGCTATCACAGAAGCCAAAGCATCGCCACGGCAACCAAACTCAAAGCTCACTGCAATCCAAGAACTCTCCCATCTTATGAAATATAGTGATTGGAACCTCCACGGGGGCTGCCTCATTTTCCACCTCGCATTTTTCTTTAACGTGTTCAAAATGTTAAGAGAGCGTTTGGTAGTAATTGCCTCAGATATTATTCCTGTTGGTGGTTTAACGTCTGATTTTTGTTACTAGGACACTGATGTTTTTGTCTTTCGTTCTTCACAGGCCTATAATGACGGAGCCCAGAGACACTGATCCAATCAAACTATTATGCAAACCACTGGACATTTTCAATACGTGTACAAAGACGATTATTTTTATAAAACAAACAAATAAGGAAAAAAATAGGATTGTATACTTTTTTCACCAATATTTCATACACAACGTACTGTAACTGTATTATAAAGGGAGAACATATTACTTGAGAGTATTGAATATGCCTTTAAATCTTGTTTGCTCTGTAGCATGATGTTAAAACTCCACAGCGAGACCAGAAAATATGCTTTTTGCTGTTAACTGACCCTTCTGCAGGCCTAGTTCATATTAGAATTGTGGGGACAGCACATCCGTTTAATGGTGTTTATTGACATGCACTGTTAAGAGTTGTGGAGGGAACATATGGAATGTTGTTTAATTTATTAAAATGATTTAATGCAGTTGTTCTGTTGTTGATTAATGGACTCTGTTCTTTTGAATTTTGTCCAAGAATGTCAACTTCTATACGACAGGAGAGTTCTCCGGGGGATTTTTGGTAAAGGTACTCTTTCCACATTTAGCTTTGTTGCTCATAAATGCAGAATTTTACATCCGTTGTCTTCTGCTTATCCGGGGTCGGGTGGCGGGGCAGCAGCCTAAGCAGAGAGGCCCAGACATCCCTCTTCCCAGCCACTTAGGCCAACTCCTCAAGGAAAAGCCCAAGGCATTCCCTGGCTAGATGAGAGACACAGTCCCTTCAGCATGTCCTGGGTCTCCTCCTTGGTTGGACGTGCCTGGAAAACCTCACCAGGGAGGCATCAAGAAGGCCTCCTAATCAGATGCCTGAGCCTCCTCAACTGGCTCCTTTTGTTGTGGAGGAGCAGCGGGTCTCCAGCCACCCTGTGGATAAAACTAATTTTGGCCGCTTGTATCCGTGATCTAATACTTTCAGTCACTACCCAAAGCTCGCAACCATAGGTGAGGGTAGGAACGTAGATCGACCGGTAAATTGAGAGCTTAGCCTTCCGGCTCAGCGCTCTCTTCACCACGGCTGACTGAGAAAACCCCCACAGACGAAGCACCATTCCATCAGTCCCCCTCTCCATCTTCCACTCGTGAACGAGACCCAGAGATACTTAAACTCCTCCACTTGAGGCAGGACCTCATCCCTGACCCGAAGAAGGCATTCTACCCTTTTCCGACTCAAGACTACGGTCTCGGATCTAGAGGAGCTGATTCTCATCCCTGCTGCTTCACACTCGGCTGTGACCTGTTCCAGGGAAAGCTGGAGATCACGTTCTAATAAAGCCAATAGGACCACATCATCTGTAAAAAACAGAGACCTGATCCTCAGGCCAAGTTAAGTTACTTTATCATAAATGTGACTAATCAGGCTCCTCCAGCTGTACAAAATACAACACCAAGGAGTTTATTTTAACTGACGGCCTCCAAACAAGGTCACAGAGTCATTGGATCAACAATCCCTCAAACTCTTTCTCCTCTTCTCCCACCAAGGTGCTGACAGACAAAGAAATCAGTTATGTCTATGACTTTAGAGCTCCTGTGTGTTTTCCTGGGCGTCCATCTGTTAAACTGTGGTCGTCTGAGCAGCCAACGTTAGCTCCAGAGACGCACACACACACACATCACGGACACGGTCTGATTCCTACACTCAAACCCTACTGAGTCTTGTGGTGAGATACACCCAGCCATGCCAGCTCTCTGAGATCGTCCCTGGAGATGTGGTCAACAGAAAACTCAGATCTCATTTCACCACGGCTGATTATTGAAAGGATGTGTGAGAGGACTAATCACTTAAAACTCCATTCTGTAAAACATGGTATGTAGACTAATGTCCCACTTACTTGAACACATTTTGTTCTCATTAGAAGAGGATGTGGTCAGAAGATATGCGCGGGAATCAAGACACGGTATGATTTAGTCACAGCGGTGCCTTGATATAATCTTTATAGCACCGTAAACAATATTTTCCTGTCAGTAAAGGGTAATGGCTAGCTTTTCTTATGACATTTGCATATTCCTTTTTTTGGTAGAGCTGGGAGGCGCTGGGGTGACCGCCATCTGTTGTTCCGCGGATCTCTAGCATGCTAACTCCTGTTTTCTGTCAAAATTGTATGCAAGTTCATATGTTTTCTCTGGATTTTCATTTTATGTGTTTCAGCTGAATATGAAGAGAAGCCAGGTCAGTTTTAGAGATGAAGCTGTACGATCGCAGATGTCATGCATAGGCAGAAATGTGAAACTTTTTATTTGTTTCTTAAATTCATTGCTGGGACACCCGTTGTTCATTTCTTTTTTACAGGGATGCTTACTGGTTATTTTCTGTATGTATGTAAATAAATTCTTGAATGTGTCATGTAAGAAACGGATCAATTTAATTTCAGTTTTCTTCTGGAGAATGACCTGCAGCATCTTCATACACCAACGACTTTCAAAGCCACTGTAGGGACCACCCAGAAAGAGGGTCAAACATCAGTGTGCTTACTGGGAGCTCTGGACCACCATCAGTGGTCATCTGCTGTGGTCAGCTGAGATTCAGTCCAACGGATAAATGTATGGTGGATTTTGAACGGAATAAATGGTCAGTACCATTGGTATCCCAAAGGTATATTTTGTGTGTTTGTGTGTGTACCGGTCTACACATCAAAGTGAGGACCAAAAGAAGTTGTTTTTTTTTTACCAGCAAACTGATAACATTTTGCTGGTCCTCACTTTGGTTCAATGTTACAGAGCTCTACTGGTTAGTTTTAGATGTATGGTGTGAATTAGGTTTCTGTTAGGGTTAGGGTTAGGTGTAGACTGGTTAGGGTTAGGCACAATCCAGTCACTAATATGAAAGGAAGTCAATAGCGGCCCTCACAACGAATGCTAGATTAGTGTGTGTGTGTATTGAATCAACTGATCTGGGCACAAAACAACATTTAGAGATCAACTTTATTCATCCTCAGTAGTCTCCAGTAGAAATGAATGCCTTGGAAGTTGTTCCCTGGGGGGGGGGGGCTCTGGAGCTGGAGTCAGCTGGAGAAGAAAGTGGAAAGTGGCAGAACATGGCAGAATCTTATGGGGTCTTATTTACTGATATTTGGACATCTCGCCTCTGATTGGTTAACGGCAGTGTGACTCTACCAACGACTGTCTGCTTTGCAATGTTGAT